CTCCTTCTCCGCTGCCACGGCTCTGCCCGCGATACGCGTGATCAAACTCATCCCTTGTCCTGGCTCCTACACCCAGGAGGCTGGGGCACCACGGGAGAGAATCACACAACCATGCTATTGCCAAATTAAAGGAACCATCTCCAACCCCAGCCGGGCCTTCGGTGACACCTGGCAATCTGGTTATCAGGGCTTGCTTGGTTCGGGATCTTTTTTTCACGCTATGGGCATCTTCAGCTTTCAAATCAAGCTCCTTAGCCCAGTGTTTATTGCTACTGTTCTCAAAAGACAGACACCTTTCTCCTACCAAGACTTGTAGGCATGAATCTGCACTTTCTTTTCAAAAGAATCCTGCATTCTAACCTAAATTCCTCCCCTGCCAATGACTTCAAACTACACAATTCTGTACTTTTCCTGCTCTTTATTGAAACAGATCTTGCTGAAGTCACCAGTCACTCCTCATTGCCAAGTTTTCAATCTTTCTCTGGCCAAATCTCTCTGCTGATCGCCACTAGTAACGGTTTTTTCTCCGAACTCTCACTATTGCTTCCACACTCTGCTGGTTCCCCTTCTTCCCAGTCCTTGAAAGTGAGTGAACTTCCATCACCGGCTCTCTTCCTTCTACTCACAGCTCTTCCTGGGGTTCCATTCCCACGCCTTTTTTACCACCTCCCACCTAATAACTCTTAAATCCATGTTCTCAGTCCTGACTTTCTTCTAGGTTTCAGACGGGTATTACAACTGTCATCTCTGCCAGAATGTTCTGAAGGAAACTCAGCGTTAACATTCCCAAACCAGCTCATCGTATCTGCTGGACATGCCGCGTTTCCTGGATTCCCATCCGTTCAGGGAGCACCGTCTACACAGGCACGCATGGGTATTCATCCTCACTTCAGTGACTGCCCTCAGTACCCCCAGAACATCAGGAATTACACGGTGCTGACTCCACCTCTTAAGTCCTGCTTGGATTGTTCCATCTCCTCTGAGAGAGCCTGAGTTCAGGCCTCCCTACCTTCTTATCAGAGACGGCGTGGCAGCCTTCTGTAGGATCTGCCTTCAGCCTTCCCCCAGCTCCCTAGCCAACCCCATAACCATTCTGCAGCACAAACTGTATGGTGCCATTTCTTTACTTAGCAACCCTCGATGTATCTGCACTGTCTGCATTATAGAATCCGAATTCCTTACCATTTTTATTCACTCAAAAAATAATTATTGAACACCTACTATTAGGCAGACACTATTCTAGTCCTACAGACAGAAGAATAGAGAAGACAGGTCTTTCCTGTTCTGTGATTATATTCTCAGGGGGGGAAAACAAACAATAAATAAATACCATGCAAATAAGAATTTCAACTAATGGTGCATTCTTTGAAAAACACATCATGATGCACTCGAGTGATGAGTTAGGCAACCCGGGAGAGCTTCACTGAGGAGGCAGCCCTGAGCCGAGGCGCCTTAGGAATCAGCCACACCTAACCCTGGGAGAAGGGCATTCCAGGAAGAAGGGACATCAACAGCAAAAGGAGGTGACAAGACGGGTGAGAAAAGTGACAGGCCCAGTTCACCTAGGGCTTTGCAGGACGGAGGGAGGCGTTCGGATTTTATCTAACATTCACTGGAATCTTCCAATAGATATGATTCCGAAGAATATGATTTCTTTCTGAAATTCAATCTTACTGTGGTATAATTTACAAGCAATAAATGTATATCCATTTGGGGTACAAGTTGTAATGGATTTTCACAAATTTATACACCCATGTAACTACCATAATAAACAGGATGCAGGACGTTCCCATCACTACCAAAAGTTCCCTCGTGTCCCTTCCCAGGTGTAGTTTTTACACTGATCCATTCCAGTTATTTTTGTGTATGGCAGGAAGTATAGATTGAGGTTCATTTTTCCCCCTCCAAAATGGATATCCAGTTGTTTCAGCACTATTTATAAAAAGACTATCCTTTCTAGGAATTATTTTGCCTTCTTGTAAAAAAAAAAAGTCTATTTCTAAGTTCTTTATTCTGTTCCACTAATGTTTACTATCCTTGTGCCAATGCCACACTGACCAGACGGTCTGCATCATTTATTTTGGTATCTGCAGTGCCTGAAGTTGTCCCTGACATTTCAGATGCTCAATGAACTGCTGAATGAATGAGTCTCTCCCCAAAGGAAGAAATTATTATTCCAGATCTGTAGACAATAAAAGTGAAGAGGTATGGGGGTGGGCGGGGGTGGGGGGGATGATAAATTAGCTTCAGACCATAGATTAGTTCACTGGGAAAGACAAGAGCTTTCTTCGGGCCGTAGACTTCCACGCTCCCCGACGAGGGCCTCCCTGCCCAGGAAGGCAGCCATCCCCCCGCCTGCGGGGATCGCGGGGCTCCGGGGACAGCACAGGCTGCCCGAGCGGGCAGACACCCTGCTATGACTGGGTACATCTCTTTCTTTACTTGGCCAAATGTGTGGTTCCCTTTGAACAGGGAAGTTGTAAATGTGATCTATTCAATACCGGATGATTGTTAAGAGCATGCCTCGGGTTTTAGACAGACTGGCCCCAGGATCTTGGATCTAACCACCTTTTTCGGCTGTGTTTTTCAGGCCAAGTATATACCAAGCCCAGGACAATTATAATGACTCATGTACATAAAGCATTTACAAAGTGCTTGGCTTGATAAACAAGAATTAGCAACATAATGGAGGAAGCGTCCTTCACTGAAATTATGCTTCTCAAGTTGATTTTTATTGTATCGTTAAAAGACATACCTTGTTTTAGGTTTTGTTTAATACATTACTGACTGTCATCCTACTACCAGAAATAATTACAAATGATGTTCAGTGCTGGGTCTTTCCGCAGGGACTCAAGCGTGAAAACGTGTGAGCTGCCCCCCGGGCCGACGCTGCAGGGAGCACCTTGAGGG